ATCACAAAGAGTTGGACACGACTGAGTGACTGAACTGAACTGAGAGTCCCTGTTCTTGATTGCAGGCCAGGATTGTATACTTCACTTTTTAATATCTCCTCTAGTTCCTTCTGTGTAGCCAACAAATGTTTATTGAATTTTAGCCAGAGTTTTCATTTTAGTATCTGTACCCTGACCGTGGTAGTTTTTGGCTGTGTGATAGCAAATCGAGTTCCTTAATTAACCTCTCGGTCTTGGTTTCCTCATGGAGCAATGAGGATCATAACAGCACCTACCTAAGGTTACCACAAGAATGAAAGAAGACAGTGCACTCAGAATGCTTAGCCGTGTGCTTGACACTCTGGAACCATGGGTTATCAGAGAAGGGAAGGATTCATTTAGACTGGAGGAAGAGTGGCGGGCTTCCTGGAGGAAGTGGAATGTGAGCTGGGATACGAATACATAAAGATAGAAGATATTTAGGAAGAGGGACCAACCTGAACAAAGAAGAAACAGGGAAAAGCAAGAAGAGCTGAGGACAGGGCTGATCAAGACCTGGGAAATGGAAGTATCCTGGTGGTCCAGTGGTTAGGACTTCATGCTCTCAGTGCTGTGGCCCAGGTTCAATCCCTGGTCAGAAACTAATATCCTGCAAACCATGAAAGTGTTAGTTGCTCAATTATGAGCTGCTCTCTGAAACTTCATGACTGTGGCATGCCAGGCTGCTCTGTCCATGGAATTCTCCGGGCAAGAATACTGGAATGGGTTGCCATTCCCTTCTCTAGGGCATCTTCCTGACCCAGGGATTGAACCCAGGTCTCCTGTATTGCAGGCAGATTCTTTACCAAGTGAGCTACCAGGTAAGCCCACAAACCATGTGGCGTGGCTAAAAAACACAAACAAAAAAGACCTGGGAAATGCCTTTGGAGAGATTCCCCAGGAAGAGAGACAGCAAGGAAAATGACAGGTGGAGTAAATCTTTCAGGGTGATTGATTAGCAGATGAGAAGGAGGAGAAAATGGGTCTCCAGCAGTTTGTTGAAGGTTTCTGTCATTGGATTTGCCCATTTCAGCAACAGCAGCAAAATTAGAAGTGGCAAGTTAGATGGGTGACAGAACTGAATTGGCCTGTGTTTACAGCAATTTGCAGCAAAGGATGGAAATGCACGAAATGACAACTACTGCTAATTACTAGGAGGGTTAAGCTAAAAATCCCATATTTGTGTTAAGTAATTAAAGGTGTACAAAAAAAAGAGTGAATTTGGCTTAGTAGGAGACTGGGGCCAGGCGGGGTGGCGGGGGGAGGATTAAAGGAAAGAAGGTGGAAAAGATTGGTTACAAAGTTAGTTTGAGCCAAAGGGTCAGGGCAGCCATTAAACCTGGTAATGTAACCCTGAAGCGTGCTCATGGACGGAGGGGTCAGACCAAGGAAGGCCAAGGCTTCTCTGTGCCCTGTGCTGGTCCCATCACACCTGGGTGTTTGAGGTCGTCACATTTTGGCTTCAGTGAACGAAACCCCAAGTGGGAAGGGAATGAATTGGCCCCCAGGGTTAGACCCAAAAAATGCCCCATCCAAGTTTCTTTAACGGGCCAGTTCACCCATCCCCAAGCTGCTGTACTGGCAGCAAAGGGTTCCCAGATGCCCCAAATTCTGGAGAATTGCCCTCAGCTGAAGGGACTAGCATTGGTGAACTTAACCCCTTCAGAGCCCATGGCTAGTGACTGAGTGATATTGGGGAACACAAAGTGGTCCCATGGTGAGGATAACCACATGGCGTGATTTATGCTCCAGAGCTCTCTGGGGTGGATCAGGCCAAAGGATGAATTGAGCCTTACTTGGCTCTTTCCCTTTCCCTGTTCAACTTCCTCGCTTATAGGTTTTTCTTCCCTCAATAATCCCAAATCTCTCTTACAGGCAGGCTCTATGGACCCTGACCTCAGACATCTGTGAAGTCAGCCAGAAAATGGCTGGACCCAGGCTCTCCAACAGTCATCACCTGCTGTGGCCTTTACGGTGTCTCAGCTCTGATAGTTCACAGGTTCTCACCTGGACTTTATTCTCAAACACGTTATTCCCTGTGGTCTCCGGGTCAGTCCCAGGTGCAGAACTGGACCTTTCGGCAGCCTCACTGCAAGAACTTCTCCTTCCTGATAGTTTCAACAAAGGGCCCAGGAATTCTGATTGTACCGCCTTGGGTTACCTGCCTTTCTCTAAATCAGTCTCTGCAGATAGTGGAGGTGGGGAGGGGTGAGCAGTGCTTTCATCAGGACTGGGTTAGAGTCAGCTCCTTAGCCGAGTGTGGGGAGGAGTGGTTCCCCAGGGGAAAATTAGGGTCCTCTTTCCAGAAGAGAAGATGTCTGATGGAAGGACAAAAATAACACATGTCCCTGATGTGCTTGTGCTCTGTCGTGTCCAACTGGACTGTAGCCTGCCAGGCTCCTCTGCATGGGATTTCCCAGGCAAGAATACTGGAGTGGGGTGCTATTTCCTATTTCAAGGGATCTTTCAGACCCAGGGATAGAACCCATGTCTCTTGAGTTTCCTGCATTGGTAGGCAGGGTTCTTCATCACTAGCGCCACCTGGGAAGCCCCACAGTATAATCCAGAGAAAAAACAAGAGTCAAATTGTAAGCAGAAACCATTAATTGCTCTAGATACAAGTTTCATTATTTTACTTACTTTTGTGAAAACCTTCCTGCATTGCATTACCAATAAATAAATAAATAAAACCCACCACCAGCCATTTCTATCTTCATGTCTGTATCCCTAATAGAGCCTGGCAAACTGAAGATGTCCCCCCCGAGTCACTAGGATAGTGTGGTGCGTGGAAACCATCGTCTGAGGAATGGTGACAAGGAGGACTTAATCCCTGTTGTTTTGGGGACTGGTAAGAGGGTGTGGGAAAGGCAGCTTGCTGGTCATCTTCAAATATTTGGAATGTTGTCATGACAAAGTGGGATTAGACGTGCTCTGTGTTATCTTCAGGGCATGACATTAGGATTTACGGTCAGAAACTAGAGGGAGGCAGATCATCCATAAGAAATATATATGGACACCATATATATGATATTCACACACACACACACACACATATGTATACAATTTAAGTTGTCTTAAGAGAAGAAGAGGCCTGAGAGGTGGTGAGTTTGCCATGTTTGGGAAGCTGAGTAGGATGTTACCCTGCTCATGGCTAATAACATATGCTGTGGGACTTCCCCAGTTGTCCAGTGGTTAAGACTCTGATCCCCAATTTTGGTAGCGTGGGTTCGACTCCTGGTTGGGGAACCAAGACCCCACATGCCATGGTGTGTGGCCAAAAAAGTGAAAAACCAACCCAACAAAACACACAGCTGGGGTTCCCTCTCCTCCTGGCTGTTTCCTGAAGGCTGAGTGTAGGTAGACTCCATTGGGAATGTGCCAGCCAGGTCTTGTCTTGGGGAAACCTGCCCAACCCTGGTAATTTCCACTGGCAGGGCTTTTGCCTCATACCTCTGGGCCCTCTAGTTAGTCATGCTGCTGGGGATCATCTGCCTGGTCACCTCAGCATGTGCCTTCACATCCTCCAGTTTGGTGAGAGAGCACCCGCAGGAAGTGATGACCTCGTCTGTCTTACCCCCTCAAGAAATATTTGCTGAATAAATAATTTTATCAGGACTTTCATGGAGGAATTCTTGCCTTGGAGGAAGGTATGTGACTAAAGGACCACAAGGCTCCTGCCTGGAACTACAAGATTCTATCACTGCAGTGATACTGAACTTGAAACTGACAAGATAGATGAATAACTGGGAAGACCCAGGGCCCCTTCAACTTTTGCAGTAGTCGGAGGGGGAGAGGCACCCTCTCCTGCCTTTCCTTTGAGAGTGACACTAATGGGCAGCCTCCGGAGGCTTTTGGGGGAGAGCAGGGGGTGTAGTAAGAATTCCTCTGGGATGTAAAACGATCTGCCTCTTTTCAGCCTCTGTGCCATCACGCTCCTCCTTCCTAAACCTGCAAGAATGCTCTAGCCCCTTCTTCCTGTAGCTGCACGTTACTCCCCCCTCCTTACTCTGTCTGGTGACACCATCCCCAGGAAGCTTTCGGGAAAGCACTTCCCCCTCTTTCCACCCGGCCAAGTTGGAGTTATTTCGCCTTTTCTGGGCTCCCGCCCATTGCTGGGGGGAGGGGAAGCAAATAGCTTGCTTCCCTCAAGGCACTTACCGCAGCGAACCTGGCTTTCCTTGTTTCTCTCTCCCTTTTAGCCCGCTTTCTTTCTCCTTGTTGAAGTCATGGACCAAGTCCCTGTGTGGCCTTTGCGCCTAACGCAGGACACACACACATCCCCCGCAGCCCCCCAACCCCACACCCATTTGCTACGAGAGTGGATGCTGGATAGAGTAGGACATCAATCAGCATCTTACAATTATAGAATTACAAGAGTCGTCTAGTGCAGTCCTCCCTTTTACGGATGCTCTTCCTTTAGTCTCCTGATACAGGCTTTTGGGTTAATTCAGTCTTTTCTTCTTGAAGCCCAAAGCATTTTTGCTGTTAATGATCTCAACATCCTGGGCCGGTAAAGATGGGGTAGGTGGGTGCCGGTATCCTCCCTTTTACTGTAGTGGAAACTGACTCAAAGAAACGAGACGACGGGCTTCGGTGGGGCGGGGGCTGTAACGGGAATTTAGGGCTCCAGGCCAGTGCGGAATTTACTGTGTCTCCTTTTGGGAAGCGTGAAAGTAAGTAATCGATTTATGAGCCCCAGGCGGGGATCCTTCAGCCCCCTAGAAGGATTGTGATGGGGGCTAGAGGATTAATGCACTAAGCGCTGGGAGGATTGACCCCTTGGCAACTTGGCCAGGTCTGGCCGGGTCCGCCGCCCTTCCCTTGACTGGATGACCAGTGAGTTGCTGCCTCTTTAAGGCCCCAGCGCCCCGCCTCCGGCTCGTCTCCGACCTCCTCCCACCTCCTCACCGCCACTCCGCCAGTTCCAGACTTCCCTCTACAATGAGGTCATCTCCCCGTTGCCCATTGGCTGCGCTGGGCCGTCAGTCACAGGAAGTCCCGCCGCCACGCTCGCCTCCCTTGTAGCCCTCTCGTCCCCGCCCTCCTTTTAGTCCGGGCTCCTGGCCTCCATGAGGCCTCTGATTGGTCAGCATTGCTGTCACTCCTCCAGCGGGCGTGGCGTGGTGCGGGGGGCGGGAGGCGGGTGTGGTAGGAGGGCCTGCAGCTTCCGTGGCTGAGAGGAGCCGGCCGAGGCCGTGTCTGTGGTGTCCCCGCGGCGGCAGCGGTGAGTGCGACCGTCCCATCCTTCCCACCGTCTCAGCTCCGCTCGCTGCACGCCCTCCGCTCGCGCCGACTTCTCCACAGCCCCGCGCGTCCCGGCTGGACGCTGAGCCTCGGGAGGAGACACGCGCGGTTGAGAGCCGGAGCGGGTACCGCCGCGGAGCCCGGGCCGGGAGGAGATCGAGGCGGTGAGTGAACCGGGCAGGGGACCCCTCCCCCACCGCGGCCCCGCCCCGAGCATCCTTTCTCCGGGCGACCCCGCCACGCGCGCCCTCCGGGGGTCGGACTGTGGGCCGTCCTCGCCCCTCGGCCCCTTCCCCACCGTCGCCCCGCTTCCTCAGGCTGGGGTCGTAGAGCCGGGGAGGGCGGTGCGGGGGCGCGGGCGGTCGGTGCACCTGTGCGCGGCTGGGCCGGGCCGTGGGAGTGTGGAGGCACGGAGTTTCCCGCCCCCGCGGCGTCCTGGGCGTTTCGTGACTGCAGGGACCAGGTGTCTGTCGGGCGCTTTCTCCTGGATCTTGTGCAGACCCTTAGGATCCATGTGCAGTTGTCAGGATTCCCAAGCAAGGACGTCTCACCTGGACTTGTTGACGCCTGTACTGTAGCTACCTGAATGCTGCCAGGTGTAAGAGATGTGGCAGATCTGAAACTTTCCCCTCCAACAAAATGTTTGTCAGGACACTTCTAGTATATTCCCTAGCCTGGCGAGAATGCAGGAGCATTGATCCTCTGTAGTTTTAGGGCTGGAGTTTTCCAGTCAGACTCTCAAACCTGCCATTTCCCAGCTGTGTAATCTTGGGCCTCAGTTTCCTCATCTGAAAATTAGGGGTAATAATAGTATCCATCATGGGGTCGTTGTAGGAGTTAAAGTGTTTGACACCGCACTTGCCCACCTTAGTAAAGGCCCAAGCAGTGTTTGTTTTTATGATACTGAGAACCATGATAGACCAGCATGTGTGTGTAAGCACCAGCGCAACTTGGCTTTGTCAGGGTTTCTCTGTTTTCTCTCTGTTATGCAGCATAACTAAAGGGCAGTTTAGTGGACAGTTAACTGCTTACCACCCTATACTTGGCATGAAGTGTGTGTAGACAGGAATGTGAAATACGTCACTTAACTCTAGCAGTGAAATTACACGTAGTGTCCTATATGTTTACATACTTTAAAATCCGTAAGATGTCTGAAATGCACCCCCCCCACCCAGTTGCCAGTTTTTGAGCTCTTTTCAGGGTCTTTTCCACCTGAAGCCAAGGTCTGAAGCAGAATCTCTATTTAAAATAAGAAGTTAAATTTGCATGTCTTACTTTGGAAGATCCCCCAGACTCCTCATTTCACTTATGCAGTTTTACTGTTGAAAAGCAGCCACCTCCCAGAGATGAGGTGACAGCCAGCTGGCCCACGGCCCTATGACTGTAGGGTGGGGAACCTTTGGCTGAAAGTTACTAAGCTAAATTTTGCCTGGTGGTGTTCGCATTTTTCACAGCGAATCAGAGGGCTTTATGAGCCTCAGTTTCTTAATGAAATGTTTTAGAAAGAAGCAAACCATTACTGCTTTTTTCAAAAACACATGCATAGGAAAACTGGCTGTAGTATAGTTCCAGCATTTGCTTCAGTTCTTTGCCAGTAACTCTTAAGAAGAGCTCCTGTTAAAAAGGCTTCCAAAAGCCACATCCATTAGGATACCATTTTTTATTTAGCATGAAATCATGTGAGAGTATTCTGTATCACATAAGCCAAAAGTATTTATTGCAGACTTTCTGCATCCTTAGTGCTATGTCGAGTGCCATGAGGAAGGGATTCAGAAGTACAGAGGCGCATCTTGGCCCAGAAAGGGCAAAAACACAAAGTTTGGTCACCCAGGAGTGATTATGGGTACTGCTTAAGTAATGACTTCATTCATTCATTCAGTTTTTGTTTCATGCCTGTAACGTGCCGGGTGTTTTTCTAAAAGCTGAGGTTAAGAAATGAGTGAGGTATATGTTCCCTCCTCATGAGGAACTCACAGTCTAGTGGGAGAGACAAAGTGACAGATAGCTACAACACACTGACAGAAACTCCAAGGACAAACCCAGAACTGTGTGGGAGAGTCGGGGGAACTTTTCCTTTGGATTTCAAGGAGAGGATGGCCTTTGAGCTGAATCTTTTATTCATTAGATAAAAGAGAGGAAGATCATTCCAGAGAGGAATAACTAAACTTGAAAACTGACAACTGTTTGGACCATAAGTACAAGCCCTAGGTAAGGGGAAAGAAAACTGACATTCTGCAATGCTCACTACGTAACAGGCATCAAGCTAGGCTTTTAATGCATTGCTTTAATTCTCACAGTAATTCTATGAGGTAGATTTTACTTCCACTTCAGGATATGGAAACTGAGGCTCAGGGTGTTAAATAATTTGTCTAAGGTTACGCAGTGAGTGACAGAGCCAGGACTGGAATTCCTCTTAAAAGTGTAGTGAGCTTTTTTTTTTCTTTTAACATTCTGTTTTGTTGTTGAAGTACTAAATAATACAACATACTTAGTTAAAAATTGCTTTCTGTGAAACAAATTCATATTTGAGTTGCTTGGACTTGTGTAATAAATATAGGCTATTTTTAAAAAATCAAATGGTATTTATTTTACACTTATAAGTGTGACATTTGCTAAAAATTGTGGCCTATGAAAACATTCAGTAAAAACGGAGAATACGGAGACAGATTTAAGCGGGGGCACTTTAGGAAGTAAACAGGTGTGGACTTTTCTTGAGACTGCAGCTTCAATATTTATTTAAATGTAAGAGAAAAACATATGCAGACATCTAGCCAATTAAATAGACATGATGAAAGGGGTAAAACAATTTTTGAATGCTTAAATTTTACAAAGGGGAAACTAGGATTTTGAAGTCCTGTTAACAAAGATTGTTGTGTTATATTTAGAGAGACCACCATGGCAAGGGCATATACTGGACTGTAAGCTCCGTCAGGGCAAGGATGTTTGTTTTGTTGTCAGCTCAAGCGCGCTTCTGGGACACAGCATATACTCAGAAGTCTATTTCAGAATGCCTCTGAGACAGAAAAGGGAGGACATTGATAGAGTACAGATGAAGTACTTTAGGCACAGGGAATAGTTTGTAAATGGATACGTTTTGGAAGAAAAGGAACAGTGGACAAAGGGGAATAGTCTGTTGGCACAGTTCAACAAATATGGGCACTGTTTATTTCTCAGGCTTCAGGGAGCTTTAAGAATTGAGAAAACAGTCTATCTCTTAAGGAGCTTCCAGTGTTAGAGAATAAGTGTCTGCTATTAGCTATCTACCGCTGTCAATTGCCGTGTAACACTTATCCCCAAAGATAGGACTTAAGATGGCAACAAACATTTATTACGTCTCACAGGTTCTGTGAGTTAGAAGTTCAGGAGCAGATGGGCTGAGTGGTTTCAGGCTCAGGGGATCTCAAGAGATTGCAGTAATATGTCAGCTGGGTTGCAGTCCTCCAAAGGCTTGACTGAGGCTGGCAGATCCTCTGACAGGGAGGCTAATCAATATGGCTGGCAAGTTGACGCCAGCTATGGCCACTGGCTTCCCCCTGAGCGAGTAATCCAGTAGACCAAGCCGCATCGTCTTTTATGACTTAGCTTCAGAAGTCCCATACCATCCTTTCTCCAGCATTCTGTAGGCCACTTGTTGCAGGAAGTGACTACACAGGGATGTAAATACCAGGAGGTAAGGGTCACTGAGGGTCAGCTTGGAGGCTGGTTGCCATCGTGGGAAGCATAGAAAAAGCTAAGTATTGGAAGAAAGCACAAGGTGCTGGGGTAGGGGAGGGAAAGAGGGAGAGGGGAGGGAAGGACTCAGGAGAGGGAAAGATTACCTTTGGGATGATGAGGGAATTGGGAAAGTTTTCATTTTTTGAATAAATAGTTGCAAATGTTTATTGTGTGCTTACTGTGTGCCTTCCACATGGTAGGCTCATTTGTGGAGATGGATACTGAATTAGGGGCACCTGAATGTTTTTAAGTAGCCTAGACCAGCATTGACACTAAGGACAAATATTTGATCTTTATGTATAAGGTGAAGGTGGAGTCATTTTTCTGATGTTGAAGAAAACAGTCACTTATCAGAGAGATAGATAAGCAGTTACAGAGTGTAAGTAGTTAAGAGGATAAATACTAGAGCCAGACCATTGGGGTTCGAATCCTGGCTCCACCGCTTGCCAGCTCTGTGTGTGGTACTGTGATACTTCTGATACTTTGTCTTCTCAGTGACTCACTAACTGTGAAATGGTGATGATAATGATGCCTGCTTTATATTCTGCTCTGAGGATCGAAAACCTTAAATATGCCAAGTCTTTGGAACACCTTTACATGCATCATCATCATCATGATTACTTTTTGGCAGTAACATAGAACTGACATGAGTGAATGAGGTTGGAGGCAGAGATGAATGAATATAAAATGATGTATTCAGAAGGAGGCATTTAGATGTCAATCATTGCTGCTTCAGCATCACTTTTTCCAGTTCAGATACCTACATCTTGATAGATTTTATTTTACCAGTTGGAGTGAAAGCAGTGGTTTTATTAGTTGAACTCCACAGTTAAACAAGACCTCAGGAGGTACACAATTTGCCTGTTAACACATTGTTGACTGGGGTATTTTTGCAGAAGCTAACACCTGTGGCATTAATATGTTTTTGGTCAATAATGTGTTAAGGGTATCTCATACCCTCTTGTTGTCCCTCTAAATCCTGGGCCCTCTGTCTGCAGAATGGGTTTAGTCAGAAGCAGTTCTTACAGTTTCACAGGCTTCAAGAGAGCTTAGAGGTAGATCTAGGGCCCAAAGTAAAAATACCTAGAATGAGAACTTTTGTGACTGAGTCACAAAAGAATCTGCAAAGTTCTTAAAGTTACTGACTTGTCACTTCTGTGAAGAGGAGAGATAAGTGAACTCGATGTCGCTAAAGGTGTTGAAGCAGAAATTGGTTGACCTGCCAGGGTGCCTTAGTTGCTGGTGTTCATTGCTCAGTCATGTCTGACTCTTTGCAAGTCCGTGGACTATAGCCCACCAGGCTTCTCTGTCCATGGAATTCTCCAGGCAAGAATACTGGAGTGGGTTGCCATGCCCTCTCCCCAGGGAACTTCCCTGACCCAAGGATCGAACCTGGGTCTCCTGCATTGCAGGCAGATTCTTTACCATCTGAGCCGCCAAGGGTGCCTTGGGTGGAGCTGTTTGCTGAAGTTGCCTTCAGTTCTGCGGTTCAGTGACTCAAGTCCAACTCTCATTGTTTAGTTGAAGGGAGGCTCTGAGGAATTAAATGATTTGAAGTTCCACAACCGTCTAGTGGCTGAGCTGGAGCAGTTCCTCACCCTTTGTTTAAGACAGGCTCACACAGCAGTAACAAAAGGCCTACAGAATCCGTGGAAGACAGAGTTGTGAAAAAAATTTTTTTTCTTTTCTTCAGATACCGTGTTTTTCCTTTTGTGGTATATTTGATTCATTTGCTTCTTCACTTATTCTTGTTAATAAGCATTAAGAAATCATTCCCTGTATAAACGA